TTCAGAGGAGAAGGGACAGAGAGGTGTGGAATAAATAAATGATGTGAAAAATAATGCGTTTTTTAACAAACAAAGCATTAACACATGTTAGACTGCACCCCATAAACGCAATCAAGCCTATTAAAAAACCAGTCAACCACCCCTTTAACTAAATTTGAATGCAAATAATCCGGGTATCATTCATTCATTTTTCAGTATAAAACCAAAAACAATTCAAATAAAAAATTGAACAATGGATATCAAGCAATCAAATTCCATTTTGCTTTTTCGTTGAACTTATTGTAATCTGGAAATGACCGTTACTCGCAGAAAAAAAAAAAAGGTCACTGTGGTGTCTGCCTCGTGACACATCAACATTATATTTTCTTAATTGTTGTTAAACAACCAGAGGTAAATGCTAAAGTCTGAATGTAGTGTTTTTGCATTGACTAGGCTAGATTTGACAACACATGTTACAGTAGTTACAGAGGCCTAATGGATTTGTACGTAGTGATTTATGTACGTTTTGTGTTTATTTACAGAACTATAATTGCATAATACTATAAAATAAATGTTTTTAAAAAAATTGAATGTAGCACCATAAAATCATCACACAAATATGAAAGTAAAATGCCCCAAAGCTTCTAAACAGTTCAGAACAGTGTTTCCAGCACAGCACTGCTCAAAGCCACAAAACTTCACACTTAGTATCTCAGCCTAGTTTTACCACATTTGGCTTGCTTATTGCATCCTGTAGCTGCAGTAATGTTGTTTAAAGGCAAAAATGAATTAATTTACTTAAAATGTTCAAATAAATAAATCTGTCCTACTGCCTATCATTCTGTCAGTTCTCAAACAACTGGAGGAGCTACTCAGCGACATGAAGGCAGATGTCACCCGGCTCCCGGCAACCATCGCTCGGATTCCGCCCGTCGCTGTGCGGCTGCAGATGTCAGAAAGAAGCATCCTTAGCCGGTTGGCCAGCCGTGGATCGGAGGTCACACAGACGCAGGCGCCACGCTGATGACCCCTGGAAGAAGTTTTCACTCGCACCTCCCATAAGTCACGATGAGGAATCATCTTACACACATACAAACATGCACCTGGGTCAGGTGATCAGATATATAAATAAGTTCCAGCTGCCTGCACTAGTTTGGACAGAAGAAGAGTGGAGCGGTTTCTAGCTTAACACACTGTGGTTCCCTAATATTTCTTGTAAAGCTCAATTTAGAGGCATTCCAACCTCCTCCATTTAAAAATCCTGTGAACACACACCTACTGACCAGAGAGATGCATACGTATGTTAGAATACACAGCACCCAAATCGTTCTCCAGTGTAAATCCAGTTCAGGTTTTCCAGGTCACCTCCTCTGCACTGTTATAGGCAATGCAGGGCAAGGTTGAAGAGCTGGTGTGGATTTTTGCCTTGCGTGGAATGGATCTTTGCAGTGGGGACTCTTTCCTCCTCAGGTGTGTTTTATGGCGTAATTCACACTAGTTGAATCACTGTTTTTGTGCGTTTCCACAATTATGCTTCAATTTTAAATGCCTGTTTGAACCCTGAAACATCATGTGGTTTCCAACTTGAGAAAGGTTTATGCTGATGTGTAAACAGTCCCTGTCCCAAATGCCCACGTACTTCTCTGAGTCCACGTTTGGTGACATAATGCCAGATAGACTGTCAGGTAATAATCCACTGATGCAAGCTCTGCAGAATTACCCTTCTAAAACACACTTAAGCACTCTTCTGAAATCTAAAATGTCAAATGAGACGCACTATGGTCTTCACAAATGCAATTGGGACAGGGTCACAACTCTTATAAGGACATTTAGATGAAATATCTATATATAATAATCAAGATTTTTTTTTTCATTATGAGAACTGCTGCTTTAAGAATCCACATTTATTCCACTTTCTCTCTCCTGATTGGCTTGTGTGTAATGTAACTAGAGAATAAATCCCCGTTTCTTTTTCCTACAAGAGAAGACAAAATCTCCCTAGCACAGGTGAAAAAACGCAGCTGTTAATTTAACCTCTAATTTTACATTTTCAGTGGGTCTGAATATCTCACTTTGTAATTATGGTTGTTACCCTGTTATTGTTGTTATGTCTTATGTTTTTGTTTTGTTTTTTTAAACCTGCAATAAAAAGGTAACAAAGCTTGCAGCGTTTTGTCTCTTTATTTGGGTGTATATAAGTTTATATATAAATGTTATATATTGTTGAATTATATTTGATGGTGGTTCTTCTGGAACTAGACTTAATATATGTTCAGGAAAACCATTATCTCTATACATTTCTTTGTTAATTTATTGCATATTTTAGCTAAATTTTCTTTAAATTTGTAGCTACATTTTATATATTTTTTTCTTGTGATTATGCACCTTTTTAACACATTTTTACCTTGTTTTAGTTCGTTTTTGATCCCCTAAAATCAATTCATGGATTCCATTTGGGTATTCAAATGTGTTCTGCAGAGTGATTCGTATATACAGTACGTAAGTAGCAAACATTTAGTCTCCCCTACTGGCCAGTATGTAAGACATACAGACAACACAGAACTTTGTATGAAAGTGGAGGGTATTTCTGAATCTGAATCAGATTGGGAAAAATAGTATAATTCAAGTGAGTTAATAAATTATTTAAAAAAATACAAAAGAACAGGATGGGGAAATTATGACAATTAACGAAAATGGGTGGGTGGAGGCAGATAACTTATCAGAGCAAATGCTTTGGGCAGAGAAGACTTGCATGTCTAGTTAGTTAAACCTTCACTTTGCATGTCGTTAGATCAATCTGCATGGTACATATACAATGTTTGATCTGTTCCACTCAAGGGCAGAACTGGACATCGGATAGATCCAACAACACAGAACTTTGTATGAAAGTGGAGGGTATTTCTGAATCTGAATCAGATTGGGAAAAATAGTATAATTCAAGTGAGTTAATAAATGATTTAAAAAAATACAAAAGAACAGGATGGGGAAATTATGACAATTAACGAAAATGGGTGGGTGGAGGCAGATAACTTATCAGAGCAAATGCTTTGGGCAGAGAAGACTTGCATGTCTAGTTAGTTAAACCTTCACTTTGCATGTCGTTAGATCAATCTGCATGGTACATATACAATGTTTGATCTGTTCCACTCAAGGGCAGAACTGGACATCGGATAGATCCTGTGTGTGTGTGTGTGTGTGCGCGCGTGCAACAACGTATTGAAGAGAAGAGGACAAAAGCATGTAATGTGGGTAAGGGACTTGGCTTTACCTCCTTATATGGCTTTACCATGGTACTTTTTGTTACTTCTTTGTCAGTGTAGATTAAATTGAGAAGGTTGAATTATTTTTATAAATATATTAGCATTTTTTAGAAGATGCTCCAACATTCTGGATTCAGGCTGCTGGTTGAAACTTCTCTTTGCCCTCATATATTCATGGGATTCCTGTCACTGCCAGGATCAGATTCAAGACCGCTTTTCTTCTGCTCTGTAGTGCTGTCTTACTCTCTGCTCCAAATCATAATCCAACCAACCACATCCAGCCCAGACTCTGTAATCAACTGTGTTATCTAGCTCACCCTCACCAGTAACCTCTTTTTGCTGGTCCCTTAAAATGTGGTTTCAAGGGTTTGAGTTAAAATTCTGATTAAATTAAAATGTCATTGAGCTAGTTAAGATTTACAAATTACTTTCAGATTCATAGAGCTTATATATATATTTATGTATACAGTATTTAAAAAAAAAAGATTCACAATTTTGATCACCTGTCAAATTGCAAGGTGTTTCTAGAAATGTGTGTTTAGGGTTTAGGATATTTGATCTTTAACTTCCTTACTAAACACACCTTCACCACTGCAGGTACTATTAAATATATATATTTTTTATCTCTCTATCTAAATATGGTTCTATGTTTCTGGTAACTTCAGAAAGAGTCACTTAGAGAAGCTTTTGAAAAACATTTTGTTATGTGGTATCATGAAATTTGATCCTGGACTTTACATGTATTCAAATATTACAGTTGTGACCTAGAGGCTAGAGGGTGACATTTGCAAAGCAAAAAATTCTCCCCCTTTTTGGATCACGTATTAGCTTAAAGTATGTTAAATTGTGTCAGGTGAAGGTTTTAACCATTTATTTATTTGGGTCAGTAAGAAATTCATACTTTTATTCAGCAAAGATGCATTACATTGACCAAAAGTCAACGTTAAAGACATTAAAGAATGTCATGATCCCAATTCTTTGAAAGTTAGTGTGTAGCAGGGTTATTATAGTTAAATAACTACTAAATAGTACTAAAACCTTTTTTTTTTTAGAATACAATGCTGGCCTTGTGGTGCATTATGGTAGTTATTCTTTTACATATGTACCTTAGCCCATTTTGATGTAGTCAAAAATAATGTAAATTATGCAATTAACAACACAAAACATATATGTCAGGTTGCTGAGCTTCCTCATGTGTTTATTTATGTGTGTGTGAGTGAGTGAGTGAGTGAGTGAGAGGGGAAGGTCTGGAAACAAGGAAGTGCAATGTACAACTAAACAAATGGACTTTAACTGTCAGCCTTGATGACATCCGGCCTGTAAAATCAGTCTGCAAGGAAAAAGGCATAAAAGAAGAAAGTCAGGGAGCAAAAGAAAGATTAAATAAATTCAGAAAGCCATTGGAGAGAAGAAGCAGTAAGAGAGGGTAATTTGCATTTCCTTGTCATTGTTGTTTTGCACTACATGTAGTTCCTCAATTTGACTCTTGTAGTTTCACATGGTGAGCTGGATGTTTGTCTCATAATGTCTGATAATTAGTTTTTGACAAAAAGAACAGAAATTAACCTGACATCTCTGTATCTTTCTCTACCTCTCTTGTTTGCTTTCACTGTTCTATAAAAAAGCCACAAAAAGGAAGGAAGAAGTTTGCAACAGTGCATGAGAGAGTGAGAGAGGGAGGGACATACGACAGGCTTATATATACACTGTCAGGACAACCTGCTCTTCAAAGCACCGAAAACTGTTTACATTTCGAGAGAGAGGAGAAGCAAAGAGGACAGGTATGAAGTCGCTAGACAAATGATGGTTGTGGTTGGTTGTGTAATGGGATATCACTGCACTGCTTATAGAAAGAGGGAAGCAAATGGAAAAGTAAAGGATGAGTGCTGACGTATGACACGAAGAGAAGAAGTCTACTTTACTGCTCTGGATTATTGTGTATGCCCGTATCATATCTAATACAATATTAATGTGCATTCAATTCTTTTTCCTTATGACTGGAAGAGGAACATTTGAAAAAGGAAGATGGTCCGGTAAGTTGAGACAGACTTTTTGCACTCTTGTTCCAATCTTGTTCAACTCCTCATCTTCCCCTTTTCAGTTTTGCTATATGTGAATCTGTGGTTCTTGAAAAGTGTTTGTAAAAAGGCATCTTTTTTTTGTTCATAACTGCAATGTGCAAGGTGTATTTATATGCTGATGCATGTCTGGCTGCACGTGTATGTGCATTTCTGCAAATGCACTTGGTGGTTTGGTAGGCCTTGGTAGAGTTTGTTTCTTCTTGTTACATGTGCTTCACCATACCATTTTATATATATATATGAATGTATGCAATTATATTTGTGCATATATATATATATATATATATATGTATGTATATATATATATGCATATATAATTGCATTACATAAATTCGTTATTATTATTACATTATATTTGCGCATTTATAAAAGTGTCCAAATACTCTAGGAACTCATATATATGTGTGTGTGTGTGTGTGTGTGTACCTATAAAGTACCATGAAGTTGCATTTGATAATGAAATTTAAAATCATTTCAACAACATTTTATGTCAGTTCTTCTCGAGTTCAGACAGGTGTTCTAACCACAGATGTAGTTTAGCACATGAACTATGCATATTTTACACTAATATTGCACTACACTGCCACAAAGTGTCCAAATATTTTGTCTTTTTTGAACAACATATTGTTTTTTTATCATTTAAAACCTACTAAACTTCTTTTTGTAAAATATTTGGCTTGTGTGCAGTTAAGTCATCCACATACAGTATGTTGTACCATTAATGTCAAACCCTTCATGTAAAATTTCATATTATCATCTCTAGCATGTCTGACTCTAACATATGCTCATTTACATGTTGAAAAGGTGGTTCCACAGAGATCTGTCTGGAATAGACGCAGAGTCCGTTTTGAAGAGACGAGGTGTCCATGGCAGCTTCCTGGCCCGACCCAGCAAGAAGAATGTGGGCGATTTCTCCCTGTCTGTTAGGTACAGCACTTTTGGTTTGATACAATAAGTATATCTATCTTTAGCCACTTTTTATGTCATTTAGAGAAAATTTGGTTCTGAGGATAAGCTGAGGTCAGATTGGGGGATAGATAGCCTTCATAGCTTTCTGTTACTTTCTGCTTTAGTGAAAAGGAAGCCTTTCTGTTTTGGCTAAAACCAAAACAATTCTTTATTTACTGAACGTTTCTGTATTTGATTGGTTTGAGCTTTTGTTTTTCTTACTCTAATGTGTCTGACTGTGTTTAGTTGTAAAGAAACACAAGCGTGTTAAGAAACATTTATATACTTCCCTCCAAACCAATTATTGCTTTTTTTGGAATAGATGGCAAGCAGTTTTTTTCACTAGACAGACATTGCGCACAGTGTGGGAATAAACATTTCATTATATGTAGTGATAATTTGGTTCTGTATTTATAGAATATGCAGCGCTTTTTGTCTTGTTCTTTTCAGAAGCTTTTCATGGGTCGTGGTTTTCTGACCTTTAAAAATATTAATGGACATAAGTTTTCTTGCAAAGGTTTTTTGTTTTTCTTTTCTTTTTTCTTTTACTCATTGTCTGCCATGCAACTGTCATCAACAGTTCATTTCACTTCACAAAACAGTGCAGTAATTCATAAATTTATCTATATGTGTTTTTATTATATCCATGGACTATAAA